ATACTCAGTGGAGACATGATGCTTAGTTTAGAACCCAAACCCAAACCCTAAGCCCAAAGACCCAAACAACAGCAGTACTCCCCCAACCCCAGACCTAACAGCACAAACAAACTAATCTCTCAGACTGTCTCACGGGCGGCTTAAGATGTAGTACCATGATGTCGGGGTGTCTTGAAGCCAGTTAGGCTCTGATTAGATGAGAGACAGTTGCTGTAGCCTCTCCAGTTTCCTCTTTCCTCTCTCAAGAGTGCTAGACAGGCCGAAATTAGAGCAGGTGAATTAATGAGGTGTTGCTCCATTTTGCCGGCCAGCGGCTGGTCTTCAGCGCCAGCCTTTCTGCTACCGCTGAGTCCCTCTCCGGGGGTGGGGGCTTAACTCACTTGCAGGGGTTGCTTAGCCTCCACAGCACCCGTTCCAATGTCCTCCTAGTTCTTAGATTTGAAGATCCCACGCTCAGCTCTCTGACCCATGAAGTCAGGGCCATCGAGGAGGGATGAATTGAGACCCCAAAATAAGAACGGGGATGTGGGCTCCACAGGCCAAGTCAGGGTCTGCCTTGGGGCAGAGAACTCACCGAGTTTCAAGGTCACCCCGAGTGGAAGCCCAGAGAACACGTGTAGGAATGGAGTCCAAGGACACACAGACAAACAGGAAGGAGGCGCTCCCAGCTAGACTTGGAGTTAACAGAGAATCAAGACCCGGTACACTTAGAATTTAATGCTTGGTGGGCACTTAAGGCCCTGCCAGAGAAGCTCTTCCTCATTAATTTGTCTCTCAAAACCAAGACCTATGGGCTTCTACTCTTAAGCAGGGTGGCGTGAGTCTCTCCATTGTCACTTGATGGTTGCCACAGAGCAGAGCAAAGGGACAGCTCCGAAAGCTCTGGGATGGTGCCCTGCAGGTGTCCCTGAGCAGCAGCGGACAGGGAATGGGGTAGAGCTTTATCCCCAGGTCAGGGGAAAGCAGTAGTGACTCCAGCAGTGGTAAGAGCTGCTGTGCTCTGGAGCAATCCTTGATGAGCGCTGCTTGATGAGCGCTGCTCAGGAATTATTTAGAAGCATGGTCTTCCAAATGGCCGGTGTCTCCTCTCAAGATACATTTATTTTCAGAAATTCTCTCTATTTCTAAAACCTGCATCGATGGACCAGACTCCTGATTTGAGTCACCTCAATAGCAAAGGCGTGACCCTTGCTCTCAGTCTTCAGACCCAAGCAGAGTCAGCCTCCTGGTGAAGGGGAGGCTGATGTCCAGTGCTTTCCTGAGCTGGGTGTGGAGGCAGCTTCACCTCTGAGAAGCCAGCACAGCGATCTCTTACCGGATCTCATGTTGAGATTTTCTCTTTCTCCTCAAATGAAAGGCTGTGGGGCATAGGGTCCACCTGAACCTGTTTCATCTCCAGGGTTCTCCACATGGATTTCTGTGATGGAAACTCTCAGGTCTCTTGTGGGGTAAAACGCTGATGTATCTCATCCTTACCTGAAACCCATGAGGGTCTGGTTCACAGTGACGTGTTTCGTCTTAGATTTGGAGACAAGGTGTCTATCTCGGACTTTCCATATAGCCGAGGATGACCTTAAACTCCAGGTCCTCCTTTCTCCTGAGTGCCAGGATTCAGATGTGTGCTAGCACACCCAGTTTATGTGGTTCTGGCGGTCAAACCCCGGGCCTAGGCACTCTAGATAGACAAACGTTCTGTTGACTGATGAGGCCATTTTTAAAGCCCAGGGCTCCAGTCCCAGAATTAAGAGTAATTGTTTGTGGAAAATGGATGAGGTGGCAATTTCATATATGGGCATGTTTACCAGGCTTTACAGCATGCTGAAGTTTAGAAGACTGGACATTGTATGTGTGTGTACAGGTATATGTATGCACACCTGTGTGTGTGCTGGTGTGTGTGTGTGCATGTCTGTGTGTGTGCATTGTGTGTGCATGTGCATGCGTGTGTGTGCATGTGTGTACAGGTGTATGTGTGCACACCTGTGTGTTTGTACAGGTGTATGTGTGCACACCTCTGTGTGTGTGTGTGCATGTATACAGGTGTGTGTATTCATACCTGTGTGTGTGTACAGGTGTATGTGCACACACCTGTGTGTGTGCACGGGTGTATGTGTGCACATCTGTGTGTGTGTGTGTATACAGGTGTACATGTGCACACCTGTGTGTGTGTGTGTAAGTGTATGTGTGCTCACCTGAATGTGCGTGTGTACAGGTGTATGTGTGCTCACCTGTATGTGTGTGTACAGGTGTATGTGTGCACATCTGTGTGTGTGTACAGGTGTACATGTGCACACCTGTGTGTGTGTACAGGTGTACATGTGCACACCTGTGTGTGTGTGTGTAAGTGTATGTGTGCTCACCTGAATGTGCGTGTGTACAGGTGTATGTGTGCTCACCTGTATGTGTGTGTATTTATGAATGTAGATGACGTCAGGTACAATCCCTGACAGCTCTTAGTTTTATGGAGACAGGGCTCACTGCTTCTGCCTCGTCCAGCTGGCCAGGCTGCCCTGGGGTGTGCCTGTTTCTGAGAAGTCCTGGGATTGTGGCATGCCTGCCTGGCTTTTTACGTGAATGCTGATGATCCCAACGCCAGCCCTCACGGTCACACAGCAGGCACTTTATACAGAGTCCCCTTTCCCTGCCTGACACCAGACATTATAACTCATTATACATAATGTGTTCTTAGAAAATTTGCTTCTGAAGCTCTAATTACTCAATAAATGTGATGACTGTGTTATCATTTCCTGCTAGCTGTGTGTGTAAAGGTTGTTTATGCTGAGGACACAGACTGGGGTTTAGATAATTGATAAGAGATGGATTTAAACTATGGGCTGGATCTTACTGGATTGCCTTAATAGAAGAGGAGGTGCCTAGACCCACTGCAACGTGATGCACCTTGGCTGGTTGATATATGGGAGGCCTGCCTGTATCTAAAGTGGAGGAGTGGATGGGGGGGGAGAGGTAGAGGGGAGATGGGGCATTAACTGGGAGGAGGGGATGAAATAAAATATGGGCTGGAAAGATGGCCCAACAGTTAAGAATGTGGGCTGCTCTTGTAGAGCACACTCACAGTGGGCAGCTCCCGTCTTGTAATGTATACTCATGTGCACATGCCCACGCACACGCCCACACACGTACACAATACATATATACATACATACAATAAATCTTGTGGAAAAATGACTGTTTATTTTCATGTGGGAAAGTGAAGATTTGAGCCAGAGTTAGGCAAAAAAAGAAGAAGTTAGAACACACAGCTGGAAATGGAATATGAAAAGAAGCTCTGTGGCTGAATCTGTGAGACATAATGCATGTCCAAACTACCGGTTACATAGAGCTCTATAAACCATGGCTTCATAGCGGTGTGAGCCGCTCAGGACCATAGCAAATGGTGCTACTCATAGCGACTGAACTTCTCACCACTATCTGCCCATTGTCTGCGCTACACTTACATTTACGAACCCACTTTAGTCAAGGTAGTAAATATTACCCTATTAAGCCACAGCAATATGCACAACACCATTTGTAATACAGCATGACTCTGATACTCCTTGGTTATGGAAGGATTTGTCTCCAGCAAGGGCCAGGGAAACTGATGGCTGTGCGGAATGTAAATACTGGCCTCAGTTCTGTAACTGACATCTCAGGGTGCATTTCACACTCGATCTCTGTGTCACTGTGCTCATGGGCAGCGTTCATCAGCTAACTGTCAGATCCACTTGAAAGGAGAGCAGGTGCTTGCGTGCACAGCTGTGGTCGGAGCGCTCTCAGAGTCACTGTGGTGAGGTCTCCTCTAGACTCAGAAGGCTCAGTGAGGGAGGAAGTTGGGGGATCTGCTGTGTGTTCTGGCGGAGGCCTCTTCCAGATGACCCGAGGTTGTTATTTGAGTATTGTATTTCTCTAAGGAAAGTAACCCGTGGGTGCTAGCCAGGGCCTCAGGGATGGCTTCCACTTAAGGAGGGGCAGAGAAATTTTGGTGGAATGTGCACTCCTCTTGAACAAGGAGGGAGTCTGTTAAAAACATCCATATGGCCAAGTCAACTTCAGGTGTTGTTTTATAGGAGATGGTTTTGTTTTGTTTTGTTTTTGAGTAAAAGTAATACCGAGATCGGGTGTGAAATCCCCTGAGATGTCATCTATTGTACTGTGTGATCAGGCTGTGTGCATGTGCACGTGTGTGCATGCATCCACGTGCAGACCAGAGGTCAGACTCTGGTGTTGTTTTACAGGTGTCTATTTTTTTTCCTGGCACAGTCTGTCATTGGTCTTTGGCTTACCAATATGGTGATACTGGTCGGCCAGCACCCCCCCACCCCCAGGGGCTGGCCTGCCTCTGCCCTCTATCTGCTGGGATTACAAGCATGTGTCATCATGTCTGGCATCTGAGGTCAAGTGTGGGTCCTACTGGTTGCCCCACAAGAGCTTGAACCACTGAGCTGTGTGTCCAGCACTGACTTTGTTCATTTTAGAGAGACCCCTAAAACGTTTCTTTAGAATGTTTCCCTCTTTGTAGTAGAATGTATATAAATGACTCATCCTGAACAAAGGGAAATCATGTTGGCATTACCTCTTTCCCTTTAGAGAACTCTTCCACTACCACAGATGAGCCTCTCAAATGGTACAAGGGGCTCCATCACCGTGAGGGCAGGAAGGGACTTGAGGGGTCACCTGCTAGACCCCCTTCCTTTATAGTGAGGTCCAGGCAACTTGTCCCTGTGGCTCACCTGGGGAGTGGGTGGCAGCTTTCTGACATGTAACCTTTCCAGTCTCAGCTGCCCCCTGTCCTTTATTTTGGGTTGGCAGTTGAACTTCTTAGCATGTGCTGAATTTGTCTATTTTGATATGTAGAAAGCTGCCCACTCTTTAGTATGCGGTCAGAGCCAGGCAGAGTACTGTGCTATAGTAAATGTGAACTACGGGCATCGTTCCCTCTGTAATTGGAAATGAAAGTGTCTGGTGTGCAACTCGACGGCTCACGCCAGGTGTTTCTGGACTTTTAGGACAGAAGACTCGATAACCGACGATGACAAGAGGAGGTATGTGTGCTGTCGCGGCTGGTGTCACGTGAGTGATTTTGGTCATAGTACATGGATGTAACCCGCGATAGCACAGTATGATGACAGAGGTTCCATGAGGTGGGATATTTGTGGGGACGTGATCTGAAAAGGCAGATTCTCGGCTGTGACCCAGCAAGCTTGTGCTCTGTCCTGGGACTGTGGCTCCGTGATATCCTTTCCCGTCCCCAAGCCGATTGACTTCCCCTCCTCACCTCTGCACATCCTGCCCTCACATTTCCTGAGGTCCACTCTGCTCTGCTGTTCATTCCTGGGCTCTAAACATGCCCTTTTCCCTGTGAGGAAGTGATTTTGAATATCCACATTGCCTGATGCCACAGGGATCTCTGAGTATGTCATAAATCATGACTGACAGCTCTCACGTATTACTCCACCCATCCCTATACTACTTATTACGAGAAAATATTTAAATATTTAAAAATGTTACTGATATGTTGGAGCTATTTTTCCCAAAGCCTCCTTTTAACACAGAAAAGCAAGAATTTTTAAAAGTTATGAGTTATCTTCATAATTATATTATTTGGAGTGGTTCATGCTTTATTTTTTGATGCCCACCCCCTCTAGCATCCTTTAAATTGATCTAATTTCTTTTCTTAAAGAAACTATGGAGGAGTGTATGTTGGCCTGCCCTCTGAAGCTGCCAATATGGTGTCTAGCCAGGCAAAGACAGTGCGGAAAAGTAAGCAAGGGTCATGTGGGGCGCATTTCCTCAAAAGCAAGTGCATGTGTTTGTGTGTATGTATGGGTGTGTGCTTATGATGTATGGATGTGTCTGTGTATATATGGGTATGTGTTATGATGTATGGATGTCTGTGTATATAGGTATGTGTTTACATATGTATTTGCGTGTGTATGTATGGGTGTGTGTTTATGGTGTATGGATGTCTGTGTGTATATGGGCATGTGCTTATGTGTGTTTGCGTGTGTATGTATGGATGTGTGCTTATGATGTATGGATGTGTCTGTGTATATATGGGTATGTGTTTATGTATGTATTTGCGTGTGTATATATGGGTGTGTGTTTATGATGTATGGATGTCTGTAAATATATGGGTATGTGTTTATGTATGTATTTGCGTGTGTATGTATGGGTGTGTGTTTATGGTGTATGGATGTGTCTATGTATGTATGGGTGTGTGTGTAGGGGTATTTGTGCATGCATTCATGGGTGTGTCTGTGTGTATATGTATGTCTATGTATGTATGTGTGTGTGCAGGAGTATTTGTGCATGAATTCATGGGTGTTTAGGTTCACATGCATGTGAAGGTCAGAGGAGAAACTCTGGCAGTCTTCTTGGGAGCTGTCCTCTGTTTTGAGGCCAGGGTCGTCACTGACTTGGAACTTGTCAAGTCTTTTGATCTGGCGGCCAGCAAGCCCCTGAGACCCACCTCTCTCTGCCTCTTCAGCACTGGGCTACAGGTGTGTGGCACCATGTTAGGTTCTTGGTAGAATGTGGGTTTGGGGACTTGAACTCCTATCACCATGCTTCTTTAGCAGGCACTTACCTACTGAGCTATCTCCCTGGTTTCAAAAAACTATTCAATTTCTATTTCCCATCTACCTAACTTAACCTACCTGCCCCACAGTGACAGTGAGCCATAAGTGAATCATTTACTCATTGTCACTATTCCCCAAAATTGCCTCCCACATCTTAAAAGCAACTGCTATAAAAGCCCATTTGCTTAGAGGTTACAAACTGGGCTTCTATTTATGTATATACTCCATGGATACTCTTAATTTCTTGTTAGTTTCTCTGCTGATCAGTGTGAAACAGAAAGCCAGTTTAAACAAGTTGATGATGTGTTTGTGAGCAGGGCTGTAGTTCCATAGCATGAAGGTGATGAGGTGTGGTGATCACAGAGCTGGATCACGTTGTTTTTAAACATTCTGTAATTATTTGTTTTATGTTGCTGTTTGTTTTATGATTAGTCACATTTAAATTTACTCTCTCTCTCTCTCTCTGTGTGTGTACTGGTGTGTGCATGTGTGTGTGCGCTGGCATGTGCATGTGTGTGCTGGCATGTGATTGCATTTGGAGATCCAAAGGACAATTTACAAGAGTCAGCTCTCTCTCTGCCTGTGGGTTCTAGAGGTGAAGCTCAGGCTGTCAGACAGCAGGCACCTTTACTCTCTGAGCCATCTTGCAAGCCCTGCTTCATGACTTTGATGAGTGTGTGTGTGTGTGTGGGGGGGTGTGTGGCTATTGTTTGTAGCTTTGTGGGAAATTATAATGACAAAATCTAAACACTGTTACCAATTTTCTCTCTAAGGTTAGAGGAAGATAACGCCATGTCTGGATACTCAAGAGGTACTGTGTTTTCCTGAATTGCGTTGTGTGCTTGGTCTCAATGATGGAGAGGTGCCGGTGTCTGCGTGTGTCTAAGAGCTCATGGTGCCGCCCGTGACTTCACTGTGAGGGGACTGAAGCTCAGGTCCACTCTCCTCTCAGCTGCCATGGGTTCACTCCATTCTTTCACAACGGCAGTGTCCATTGTTTAGTGAGGACAAGCTGCATGGTCAAACCAGAACTTGGGCGGGTTTAGGAGTTGAGTGACAGCTGGGAGAGCTGGGTCAGAACTACTCTGGCTAGGAATCAGTTTCAGTGTGTAGCAGTAGAGGCCAAGAGGAGATGTGTCCATCACCAGTTGAGATGGGCAGCTGTCATGGTCAGCACAAAAGCAGGTATGTGGGCAGGAGAATTTCTATTCGCCCATTCCCATGGTGCATTCTGTGTTGGGCTTTCCACTCTGCACCGTTCTGTTCTCGGCAAACACACTCATGATGTGGAATGTCTCTCTGTGTGCTGTGAACATGTTTTACCATTGGTTAATAAAGAAGCTGATTTGGCCAATAGCCAGGCAGAATAGAGCCAGGCGGGAAATCTAAGCAGAGATGCAGGGAGAGAGGAGACAGAGTCAGGGAGACGGACTCCTTGCAGCTGCCAGAGGATAAGATGCCAGAGCATCACCACTCAGCCATGGCCATGTGGTGATACACAGACTAGTGGAAATGGATTAATTTAAGTTGTAAAAGGTAGTTAATAATAAGCCTGAGCTAATAGGCCAAACACTTTATAATTAACATTAAGCCTCTGAGTGGTTACTCTAAAAGTGGCTGCAGGACTGGGTGGTAGGAGAAGCCTCCAGTTACATACTCGGCCTCTTCTGTAGCCTCACCTTCAGGAGTGCAGTTTCCCAGGAGAGCCCACTCTCCGCTGGAAGTCAGCCTCTTTCACCTGCTGCCTGAACGGGTTACTTTTCCTTGTGGCCTCAGTCTTGTAATCCATAGGATGGGTCTTTTGCTTAGACAGAGGGTTGTTGCCAGGATCTGCTGCCTGTTCAGCCAGCCGGCACTGCACTGTCATTCCACTTCTGAAGAGGGGGAGGGGAGCTTCAGAACCCTAGGAACTGAGCAGAAGAGGTGTCCCGTAGATCGATCCCAGGAACCTGGTCACCTCTGCTGCGCACAGACCCCAGGTGAGCTATGCTGGGCCTCAGCTTTCTCGCCGGGGAGTGAGATTTGCTAGTTGTTTGCCTTTGTGCGAGGGTAAAAAATTCCCACAGTGACAGTTTAGCAGTCAACGCTGACTGCCCGCCCATGGGGCTTTAGACCTGGCTGAGATACTCCCTGGATGCTCGCTCAGGGACCCCAGAGAGCTCTTTGATCCTCTGCTGTTTCCTCCATCCATTGAGGGCATCTCTAAGTGGTCAGTTTGATCCTGGGTTCCCTTTCCCTTTGCCTGAAAGGATTTCTCCACTGAAGGGCTTGGCTGTCCGTTTTCCCAAGTGGCCGTGTGTCCGTCCTTCCCCTTGCCTGTGACACAGCTACATCTGTGACTTTTCAGGTCACTCACCGGGCAGAATATGGATGGGAGGATTGTTCTCTGGGTGGCTTTTGATACAAAGGGCAAGCTACACTGTTTTTGGCCGGCACCACTGTCTCTTTGAATGGAACTCACTCCGTGAGCTCATTTGGCTATTTTTTTTTTTTTTTTTTTTTGGCCCAAATCAAGGACTGACTTGGGCATCTTGATATTACTTATTCGATGATAAGGATGTGTGGTTTCTTATGCAGCTGATCCTAGATTGGGAACCACAGCCACATAGCTGTGGCTCTTTGGGAGGGACCTTCCACCCGAAAGGAGCTTGTGTGACAGCTCTGAGGAGCCAGTGTGGACCGGCTCCATCAGTGTCCCTTGGGGAGCCCCGCAGGCTTCGAGTGGCTGGAGCCTTTCTGCTGGGAAGAGAGTTAACTGAGTGACCTGTCCTATGAATGTGGTGCTGATACGCACAGTACTCAGCCTGGTTTGACTATGCTTATTCTGTATTTTAATCATTAGTTGTATCTTTATAAGATTCTTAGCATCCAGTTTTGTCTCTTTAAATAAATCGTAGACCTTAAGTAGCTGTTGATTGGCTATTGAACAGGAGCTCTACTTAAAAGCAAATCCAGTGACCAATTGGCAGGCTTGAGACATGTACTTTTTTTTCTGGGATTTTTGAGTGTGCTAATTCTTTCTTTCTCCTTTTTCTCTCCCCCCCCCCCATCACAGCTTGCACATGAATTTGGAAGGAATTTGGCTCCAGGGACATTGTATCTTCAAACACATTCTGAAAGGTTGTCCCCTGCGCTCCCAAATCCTAACTGTGTAGTTAAAGCCATGGGTACATACTGAATGTTGTGTCACAGAAGGAAATGGGTGAGACTCTGCTCACCGGGGGCCACTCTGTGTCCCCATAAAGGCGTTGCTACCCAGCCTGGGCTTCCAGGCCTCATACGCCGTTTCCATCCTGGCCATTCAGCACAGTTCACAGAGATCATGTCTTTTCACACTGATACTCTTGATAGTTTTTATATAACGCGATCCTTACTGTATTTATAACGTGACATTAGGACCATGGAAAGGAATTACCTGAAGTAATTTATTGCCCCTTGTCCCTTGATGTTTCTACTTTGTGTGTGTTGTTGTTGTTTGTTTTTTTAAGCTGTGAAGTTGGTAAATGGAGTCTTACAATTGTCTCCCTTTCTTACTACTTGGCTTAAAATTTTTATTTAAATGTAAGAGGATTCCCGCGGTTGAGAGCATTGCAGTATTTGGAAATGAACTGGTTAAATTTGCATGCTATCCACACGTGGGGATTAATTCCTGTTTTCTTTAGTCAGAGGCTTACACGGCTACAGATGTTCTCCAGCTGCCCAGTTGTCCATTCTCCTTGTGTGTGATCAGAGCATCTCGTAAAGTTCATTCCGTACTGCCTCTTAGGACTCACGGGTGATGCTTAGTGGGGTATGTGGAAAGTTCTTATTTTGCTAACAACCTGTGTACCTACTTATTTTGCTAACAACATGTGTACCTACTATGAGTGCAGTGTAAGTAACTCAGTTTATCAATGTACTTCAACAATTAAATATTTTTATCCCCCTTACCTGGATTTCTTAATTGTTTTCAAGAGAATGCTTTCAAAGAAGCCACATTTGGTATTACCATATGTAAATACAGTGTATCGATGTGTACAGATAGCACTGGTTAAATAGGTAACTATGAGAAGTGGAAAATTTTCCCTAAGAGAAAGGCTCTGTCTTCTATATTTGGTTGATATGATAATTGTAGAACCATCAAATTGCAAAACAAAACAAAAAAAAAAAGTAAAAATGACTAAGAACTTATGAGGCATATACTCCTCTGAATGTCGACAAGCTCACCATGGCACTCGGGGACACCAGTGTTTATGTAATTAATACTAATAGCCTTGAGAAGCCTGAGACAGGAGAGTCTGAGTTTCAAGGCCAGCTGCCTACACAACGAGTTTGACACCAAAATGAACTACATGAGGCCCTGTCTCAAATTTTTTTTTTAATTAAAAACCAACAAATACATTGACTTTGGAAAACTTAATTTACAAATAGCCTTAGACTAATAGAAGGATATAAGGAAGGGCTAGGGATACAGCTCAATTCTAACTGAGTTCCATAGCTTCCCTATGCCTTCCTGTTATTGTTCTAATCACATATCACACTGCATCCCAATTAAATTGATCTACTCTGTTTCCTCTTCCTGGTGACATTTCCTTTAGCTTTTCCTTGTTTTTCATGACCATGACCCCCCCCCTTGAAACCTACGGTACAGGGATTTTGGAATACACCCTTAATGCGAACCCTTTTGTGCTCTTATATTGGAGTGGGGGTCATAGATCTTGAGGGAGACCCCCCCCACTGAGCGGAATGGCCTCTCATCACATCCTAAGATCTCAAGATCCCAGCTCATTGCGGTGGCACTGACCTTGAAAGGGGATGTCAGCTCTCTCCACCATAATCCCTGGTTTCCTTCCTCTGATCCCTCTACGCCAAGGGTTCTCAACCTTCCTGATGCTGCGACCCCTTAATACAGCCCCTCGTGGTGTGACCGGCAATCATAAAATTACTTTCACTGCAACTTCATAACTGTGATTTTGTTAGCATTATGAATCATAATGTAAATAATATTTTCCAAAGTTCTAGCTAACCCTTGTGAGAGGTTCGCTTGACCCCAGAAGGTCGTGACCCGCAGGTTGTGAACCACTATTATAAGTGGCTCATGAGTCCAGACGATGTTCAAGAGTGCATTTATTAAAAGCTTGGTGGCGTTTGGTTTGTCAAGCACCTATCACTCTTCAGCTTCCCTGTTTGCAGTCACTGGAAAAGTCACTGATACTGAAGGAATGATTGATGGAGTGAATGACAGCATACTGGCAGGGCACGGCCAGGCTATTGTGGACTCACTTCCTGTGGGGGGCCCAGCCACACTCTGCCCCGCCTCTGATAGGAAAGGGGGACTTCGGGGTAGCTGACTGCTGTACTTTTGTACTGCTTTCTGTGCAAGCAGATGAATTCACCTGGTCGTATCAGCCATGGGTAAAATTTGATGGATTGTGTAGTGTATACTCTATTGCTTTGGATAGAGAAAACTCTGCTATAGGAAAAACAAATCCTGGTAATTGAATATTTCTGGAGAGCCACCTGGAAACTGCAGGAGACCATTTCTTCTTAAAGTTTCTGTAGCTGATGAGTACCATCATTGGCTCTTGTCTCCTGGGGGGTCCAGGGAACTGAACGCAGGGTCTTGTGTGTACACTGAGCCACACCCAAGACCTATCCCTGGGGCCTGTTGCATAATTACTGGGTGTTTCAAGATCCATTGATCCATTATTTTCTCCTCATTCCTTCAATAGGTACTACGAGGAATTCTCTAGCATGTTTATTAATTCATATAAATAAGAATGTATGGGTACCAGGAATTCTCTAGAATGCTTATTAATTCATATAAATAAGAATGTATGGGTATTTATCTTGCTCGTCCGGTTGTGGCCTAATAGTGTGATGCTTACCTAGTTTTGTGTGGCTCTGACCATTGCGAGTTTTTTCATGCTAGATTCTGACATTCTCTATACTCCCCTAACCCACCTCACTTAGGTTGACTCTCAATAGTGGGCAATGCCACAAAATAAAATAAAAATGTCATTCAAAAGTTAAAACTTCACCAAATTCTGGTACAAGTGAACAATATCTTCCATATTATGACAAATTGTAACATTTTCCTTCCACAAGGATCAGCTAAATTTAGAGCCTCCAAAATCTTACATGTTAATAGCACAGCCACCCACCTCCTGTGTCTTCAGGAAATTGATTAACGTCTCTTTATAAAGTACAGTAAGAATCTGGAAGATAAACTATTGATGTGGAGATTAAAAAAGAAGAGAATCAGGAGACTGTCTGGGATGCTTAGTTTTGATCAACTAGACACAAGCCAGACTCCTTGGGGAAGAGGGAACCCTGATTGAGGGATTGCTTCTATCAGACTGGCCCGTGGGCATGACTGTGGGCCGTTTTTTTTTTTATTAACGATTGGCATAGGAGGGTAGTCCACTCTGGGTAGGGCCATTCCTGGGCAGGAGGTCCTGAGTTACCTAAGAAAGCAGGCTAAGCAAGGCCCAGAGAGCAGGCCAGCAAAAAAACATCACTTGTCTATGGTCTCTGCATCAGCATCCCCCAAATGGTGGGCCATCACTTGGAAATGTATGATAGAGTAAACCCTTTCCTTCCCAGCTCACTTTTCACCAGTATTTTATCACAGCAAAAGAGGGGGGACAATACACTGGTAAAGCCTTAAAAAGCCCGAAATGTAAGAGTTTACACCTTTTCAAACAATATGCTCCATTTGCTTTCAAGATTATTGGTAAGAATAAAGTGGAGATGTGTGGCAGAGCATTTCTGATCAGGAGGCTGTTGGATGGAGAAGGACTCCTTACGCCTTTCAAGCAAGGAGACTCACGTGCTCACTCAGTTGCAAAGACGTTTAATCCTTCTAATTTCCCACATCATCCAGAGGAGGTGATGGAGGGAGGGCGTGTTCAACAACAGATGACTGCCTTCCTAGCACACATCAATCACAGAACATGGAAGCTGAGGAAGGGGAAGTAAAGGAGGAGGAGAATATACCACGGTGTCAAAGCCTCAGCAGGCCACAGTCGCCATTGGGGCCTGCAGAACTGGAGGAATGGAAGAGAAAGCCCAAGAGATCATATGCATATCAAGTTTGTGCAAGGGAAGTTTCCATTCAAAGTTAAAGTTGTGTGTGTGTGTGAGTGCGTGTGTGTGCACGTGAGTGTGTGTAGTGTGTGTGTGTGTGTGAATGTGTGTGTAGTGTGGGTGCCTACAGAGGCCAGAAGACAGTATCAAATCCTCTGGAACTGGAGTTACGGATGGTTGTGAGCTGCCCAGCTTAGGTGCTGGGAACCAAACGTGTGTCCTTTGGAGAGGAGCAAGCATTTTTGACTGCTGGGCCATGTCTTTGCCCTCTGGTTTTGATTTTGATTTTTAATGATGCAGGGAACAGGGTTCAGAAATGTCAAGTTTCCCCCAAAACCCTAGAAGTAGATTTGAATGAATTTGAACATAATATAAATGATGAAACCATAAAGCCGAGGAAATACTAGTAAATAGTCCCCTGACCTGAGACTGGGAAACAGTTTTGTATGAATGGAGCCTGAGGCCGCTCCGTAAGGTAAAACCTAGGCTTGAGGATATGAAAAATGAAAATGTATGTTTGAAACCCGGAAACATTTGAAAAGGAAATGGCTGGGAAATAAGGCAATGCTTGCAATAACCACAGGGCTACTCTACATCTGAGAACTCTTGGCAACATTTGTGATAACCACAGGGCTAGCCTGCTCTACAAAGAACCCTCAAGTAAAGGACCTGAAAACATGAGCAAAGCTACTCAAAAGATGGTCATAAAAGGGCTGTAAGTGGCCACCGAGCCTTCTGGCAGGGCTCATTCACGTTCAGATCCCGCGGCTGCCCTGCCTTGTGGCTGCCAGTGTGATGGTATCCCCACTATTGAGTCATGAGGTTGCCTGCTGCCTTGCCCCCATCACTGTGACGAATCGGGGGTCCACAGGCAAGAGCTTCCTCACTTACATATCGGTTAGTCTTGGGTCACTGTGACTGACAGAAGGGAGGCGCTCCTGTGTAACCTGTTTCTGTGATAGGATGCCCTGAGAAGGCAACTGAGGGGGGGAGGGGCTTGCACGTTTCCTTCAGGGTTACGGCCCCATCGTGGCAGAGAACTGAGCCAGGAGCCTGGTCGCCGACCCACCGACAGGGACAGACAGGGATAAGTGAATGCTTGATTGCTTTCTCCTCCGTCCAGAGGGCCCCGTGCAGGGGTGGGGCTCCCACAGTGGGGTGGGTGTCACACACCAGTTAACAAGACAACCCCCCCCACCCCGTGGACATGCCTGCCACCCCAACCTGATTTGGACAGTTCTTCAATTAAGACTTCCATGGGTGGTATTCTAGGCTGTGTCGAGTTGACAGTTAAAAGCTAACCACCCCAGGGGCTGGAGAGATGGCTCAGTGGTGAAGAGCCACTGATTGTTCTTCCAGAGGTCCCAGGTTCAATTCCCAGCCCCCACATGGGTTCACAACTCTCTGTAACTCCAGTTATAGGGGATCCGACACCCATGGCAAAACTCCAATGCGTATAAAATAAAAATGAAGCAAAAATAAAATAAAATAAAAATAAATAAAGCAAAAACTAGCCATCTGAGTTGAAAAGATTAATCTTGGCTCATGGTTTTGGGGGGATTTCACTTCATACTGGGGAAGGAGGAGAGAACAGCAACAAAGACTCTTCACGTTGCAGTGGGACAGTTGGGGGGGCTGAGCCAGAAGCTGTATGACCCCTAAGATCCACTCCTAATGACCAGGCCAGGCCCCCAGGGTTTATAGGTTGGAATCTCAAGTGTCTCCCATGGGCTTATAGTTGAAATCCTTGTTCTCAGGCTTGTAGTGACATTGTGCAGAGACAGGCTGTCTCCCTCCCTTCCCTTCTTACAAAAGACACAGAGAAGTCAACACTGTAGGGTCCTATACTACAGGACTTCTT